ACTTTTCAGAAAGTGTCACACACCGCTAATAAGAGAGCGCTGGAGAAGAACTACGGCAAAATATATCTGTGGTAAATGAGTCCCTCGTTAGATGGGGTAAAAAAAGATGCACGGTTGTGCAGAAGACTCTCCATCAAGACTTTTTTTTTTTTTTTATGAAACACATTTAAGTGCCTTTTAGTGGGAGACAAAGCATATGGCATGCACTCCACCCACAAACTAGCTTTCATAACCCACTTCTAAATGAATCACATTCTTTGCTGCTGAAGTCGTCTCTGCTCATAGGTCTATGAGAGGCTGAAAACAGTGATGCAGCGTTCAACACTAATGAAACCAGACAGTGATTCATCTTTTCTGAATCGCTACTAGTGTCCACAACACCGTGTGCCCAGAGACTTTAGTGTACATAGATTTATTTGTGCTGATATTTTCACTTGAAACAGAGAAAAGGACCTGAAAAGAGTATTCGATACATCAAGACTTAAACAGATTACAGCTCTAATGAAAATGATGGTCCACTGAAAATGCATTTTTTTAAATAATTTATGCTGAATATGAGTCATTCTGCAATTTAGGGTATGATTATAATATTATATTTTATCCATTAAGGGAAAGCATATTATAAACTCACACAAATATTTTGTTTGCCCCATGTTTCAATTTGTTTGAAATTGTATTGATTTTCCTTAAAGGGGCTATATGTAAGTATTTTCATGTATTAATTGCTTTTTTTATTGCCAATGTGTGAACAGCTTTTAATCAAACTTCTAAAAAAAAACACAAGACTTCCCCGTCTTCTTAAGTTGTCAATGAAAGTCAGTAAAGATTGTTTTTTATGTGAAGGACTCGGAACGTTTTTGCCGGGAAAATCAAATGGATGTGACTTTTATGCACGCTACTACCATTTGTACAACCAGTTTTACTACAAATATCATGGTTAAACTATAGTTAGTGTAGCAAAGCCGTGGTTAATTTGTAGTTACCATGCATGGTTTAACTATAGTAACACTATAGTCAGATACAATATGGATTTCGAAGAATATTAAGTTGTCACTGCAATTGACCCAGAATGTAAAAATCGTATATGAATGCTTATGAAAGCTTAAAAATGCATTAAGGGTTAATAAATATTTAAAAATACGACAAATGGTCGCAGGAAATGTGATTCAAACAAACCTGTTTTGTTACTGATGTACAAATGCACAAACCAGTTAAATAGAATAGCAATATTGTAAAATAAAGTTTTGAACACCGTTTTAGTTCTTTATTGCATTTGCCAAATTCTCCCCTGATTTCCCCCACCACCCCTACACACTTCTCTTGGTTGGATAAGTTTGTGGGCTTATGCATATACAAATAAAAGGGAAAGCCAGTGTGAATCTGTTTGACAGACAGCTGGGACTTGTAGCATATGGGGAAGCAGGCTGGACGCCATCCAGAGGGCTAGAAGCAGAGAAACAGAGAGCACAGGGGGAATGGCTGGTGTGTGGGGTAAAAGCATGAGAGGGAGACGGGGCCCCAGGCAGCCTGCCCTGTCTTTGTTTACAACAAAAAGCCATTGTTTGATGTGGCCGCAGAGCCTCTGCTTCAAACCAGGCTTCTTCTCCTACAGGATGTGCTGTGGGTAAAATGCCAGACGCAGACCGAGGACTGGAGAACGTGTACACCAATGAAAACACTCGGGACACTGCAATCTTACCTCTCGCTCTGCGCTCCTGGGACGCTCATCGCTGAGCTCCTGACTGCTGCAACAAACGCTGGATTGTTACCCAGCCAAACCTTGCTTTAAAGGTCTATCTTTGTTCTTATTTAGAATGCAACCAGCACGATTTGCTAAATGCAAAATGCCCACAGCAATGTGTGTTTTGGTTTGAGGGCAAATTAAGTTGGCTGTTCTGTGCAGCAAAGATGAGTTTTAGTCTAAAGTTTTAGTTTCATCCCGGTTCTCCAATTTTACAATTCAAAGACAAGCATGACAGATGAACTGGAGACACGAATTTGTGTAAAAGGTGTGTTGGATTTACATTATTTAATCCTGTAAATAATTTCCACATAAATCAGTTAAAGGTGACATAACACGAATTATATATTGTAAAAAGGGGCATAATATGTCTCCTTTAAGTAACACAAACATAATTTGTTTCATAATTTGTCGCAAAGTGATTGAGTAAATTTAACAATCTGCATTTTCAAATTACCATATTAGTAGAGACATAAAACATAAGACCAAATGTTACTTAATGTAGAATTTTCACTTATGATAAAACCTTTTGTTAGTCAATGTTTAATTACTTTACTTACTGTTAGTTTATTTGCTATTAAGACAACTTCTTTTTAAAATAGTCATAATATTTTCTCTTATGTGCAAACAAACAAACAAATAAAAGAGCAGGAAAAAATAAAAATTTCACAATAATTTCTGCTGTCAGTAAATTAGCCAGTATGTGTTCTGCACATCAATGAAAAATACTATTTAAACAAAATTGTTTCTTTTAATTTATTGTACATGGGGAGTGTTATTTGCTTTTAGCCAAAATGAACAAAACAAGTTTAAATCATGATTTTTATTAGACCAATATAAACAAAATACGTTAAATAAAGTTCAGAAGTTCTCTCTTAAGTTCAGAAAATGGATGGATGGAAGTTTCTTCAATTTAGTTTTTCTTTCTCAGAGCCTAATAAGCTCTATTTGAATTTCCATGTACAGTATATACATTCCACTTTTATGTAGATTTTATTATTTTATCTTTGTCACTGACATTCACTCTTAAAATATGAAAATCCATTATAAACATATTTAATTATTATGGCAAAACAATGACATAAGTTTCCCAGACTTGTTTAACTTACTGTAATGTATAAAGAGCTTATCTTTAATAAAAATGAATGTGTGAAATAAATGTACTCATAATCAAAGTAATATTTAGACCTATGACTGGATCTGTGTCGTAGCTGGAGTATATGGAATGCTAAACCTGACAAAATTAGAAATAAATAAATAAATATATAAATAAATAAATATACAAAGAAATAAAAAATAAATAAATGAATCTAAAAATAGATTTTCAAAGAAAAGTTAAAAAAAAAATACTTTTATTTCCTTATGTATTTTTTTTATTGTTTTTTCTACTTTTATTTATTTATAAATTTTTTATTTCCACTTTTATTTATTTTCACATTTATCTATTTATTTACATATTTATTTCTATATTTATTTATTTATTTCCACATTTATTTATTTTCAAATGTATTTATTTATATAAATCTTTGTCCGCAGGGTAATGAGGAGGGCTGTTTTACCTCAGGAATAGTAATGGAGCAAGAGTAGGCGAGTTGTAAGCTTTGAGGACACAGTGACACCTTGTGTTGTGCCCAAACCAAATACAAGAAGTGTAGCCTACATGACGTGCCTGTTGATAGTGGGATGAATGACTTAGATGGGCAATATGGCCAAAATCCCAAGCTGACTTGACCCCTCTCGGTCCGTTCGCGATCGCGTTCCGGGGTGGGGGGGTTTTCTACAATACCACAAATCTGTTATCTCCTTTATATTACCACCATAACCACTACCTATACCTTTATACATATACCTATACACTACCTAACCACTACCTATACCTTTTCATACACATTACATCCACACGAACAGAACACAGTTTTTCTTTCTTTTTTGTTTCTCTCTTAACTAAGAGGGGTGGGGTAGATTGCCCTGTAGCAAATCACTCAGTTTTCCCAATAGCACCTGCTAACTATGTACAAAGTCCTTCACGTCCTTTGGGGGTTTCCTTTCCCTAGAACAGTGTTTCTCAACCCTACACCCACCAACACTGCTCATTTTGTATGTCTCCCTTGTCTGACACACCCATTTCAGGTCCTGGAGTTTCTTCTAATGAGCTAATGAGTTGAATCAGGTGTGTTTGATTAGGGAGACACACAAAATGTGCAGTGTTGGGGGGCGCCGAGGACCAGGGTTGAGAAACACTGCCCTAGAAGGATATCTTTTCTCAGGAGTGTTGGGAAGTGCTGGAAAATTATCTGAACACAAAACATCTGGTCCCACTACAGAAGCCTTGTTTTCCAGTTCAGGTGACGGTCTATATCTTGAGGTTCCTGCTGGCGGTGCTACTGGTGTAGGCACTAGGTGACTCCGGTTTCGACGAAGAAGACACTTAGGTAAATCCCCAAGGTAAGATATGGGAGTCTCTGCTGTAGTAATCACAGTCACTTTTTCTCTAGTGTCACTGATCCACACAGGCTCTACTGGATGTAAATGTGGTATATCATATGCTCTGTGTCTTTTATTAAATTGCTTTCCTTGTTTCTCTCTCCTAACCTTTTCTTCTTCTTTCAGACGATTTCATTGGCTAATGGTGTTGCCCGATACTCCATAAGAGCAAGGCATGGATCTGCTGCTTTGCTAAGAAAACCCTTCACAGTCCTCACTGGCCTTTCAGCTTCCCCATTGGCTTGTGGATATCTGGGACTGGATGTTGTGTGAGAGAAACCCCACTCTTTAGCGAATTTATTAAAGTATTCTGCACTGAACTGTGGGCCATTATCTGACATCACTTCAGTAGGAATTCCATGACGAGCAAACATACTTTTGAGATGGGTTACTACGCATGCAGCAGTTGTTGCTATTTCCACAAAACAGGAAAAATAGTAAATCACCAGCAGGTATTGATCGTCCCTCCACTGAAATAGATCTCCTCCAGCCTTTGTCCAAAGTCTCTCAGGGAATTCAGTGGGAATCAATGTCTCTTTGAAGTTCTTCCGATGGCTTGCACAAATGTCACACTTCTCCACCTTTTGCTGAAGCTGTGCACTGAGACCTGGCCACCATACTGATTCCTTAGCACGTTCTCGACACTTAGCTATACCTTGGTGTGCGGTATGCAATTTTTCCAAGATATCACTCTGTAAAGATTTCGGAATTACCAGTCGACAGCCTTTTAACAGCAGTCCGTTTTCTACCGTTAACTCCCCAGCAAATTGGAAGTATGGCTGCACCATGGCTTCAACTCTTCTTTTGGTTGGCCAGCCCTCAAGAGAGTATTTCTTCACCAGCTGTAAAACTGGATCAGCTTCCTGATGTTGCTGAATTTCGTGAAGTCTCTTTTCAGTAGCAGGCAAGCTTGTGACAACTGAATTCACATACAGGTTCAACTCTTCTTCATTTTGCCGTTTGTCTCCTTCTTCTTCTCCAGGTGCTCTGGAGAGGACATCAGCAGTCGCAATGTTCTTCCCTGGAACGTGTGAAATAGTGTAAGTAAATTTCATGAGTCTCATGAACGTGGTGGTAATTCGTCTAGGTTTTTAGAACCAAGGAGAGATACCAAGGGTTTGTGGTCTGTTTCTATATGAATAGAAAGACCCACCAGAAAGTCTGAGAAGTGCTCACAAGCCCAGGTGACAGCTATAGCCTCCTTTTCGATTTGCGCATATTTCCGTTCTGTGTTTGTCAGTGCTCTTGATGCATAGGCTATGGGTTTAAGCTGTTTGTCACCTTGAATTTGTAGCAACACAGCTCCCAGCCCATATGATACACCTTGTGTTGTGCCCAAACCAAATACAAGAAGTGTAGCCTACATGACGTGCCTGTTGATAGTGGGATGAATGACTTAGATGGGCAATATGGCCAAAATCCCAAGCTGACTTGACCCCTCTCGGTCCGTTCGCGATCGCGTTCCGGGGTGGGGGGGTTTTCTACAATACCACAAATCTGTTATCTCCTTTATATTACCACCATAACCACTACCTATACCTTTATACATATACCTATACACTACCTAACCACTACCTATACCTTTTCATACACATTACATCCACACGAACAGAACACAGTTTTTCTTTCTTTTTTGTTTCTCTCTTAACTAAGAGGGGTGGGGTAGATTGCCCTGTAGCAAATCACTCAGTTTTCCCAATAGCACCTGCTAACTATGTACAAAGTCCTTCACGTCCTTTGGGGGTTTCCTTTCCCTAGAACAGTGTTTCTCAACCCTACACCCACCAACACTGCTCATTTTGTATGTCTCCCTTGTCTGACACACCCATTTCAGGTCCTGGAGTTTCTTCTAATGAGCTAATGAGTTGAATCAGGTGTGTTTGATTAGGGAGACACACAAAATGTGCAGTGTTGGGGGGCGCCGAGGACCAGGGTTGAGAAACACTGCCCTAGAAGGATATCTTTTCTCAGGAGTGTTGGGAAGTGCTGGAAAATTATCTGAACACAAAACATCTGGTCCCACTACAGAAGCCTTGTTTTCCAGTTCAGGTGACGGTCTATATCTTGAGGTTCCTGCTGGCGGTGCTACTGGTGTAGGCACTAGGTGACTCCGGTTTCGACGAAGAAGACACTTAGGTAAATCCCCAAGGTAAGATATGGGAGTCTCTGCTGTAGTAATCACAGTCACTTTTTCTCTAGTGTCACTGATCCACACAGGCTCTACTGGATGTAAATGTGGTATATCATATGCTCTGTGTCTTTTATTAAATTGCTTTCCTTGTTTCTCTCTCCTAACCTTTTCTTCTTCTTTCAGACGATTTCATTGGCTAATGGTGTTGCCCGATACTCCATAAGAGCAAGGTATGGATCTGCTGCTTTGCTAAGAAAATCCTTCACAGTCCTCACTGCCCTTTCAGCTTCCCCATTGGCTTGTGGATATCTGGGACTGGACGTTGTGTGAGAGAAACCCCACTCTTTAGCGAATTTCTTGAAGTATTCTGCACTGAACTGTGGGCCATTATCTGACATCACTTCAGTAGGAATTCCATGACGAGCAAACATACTTTTGAGATGGGTTACTACGCATGCAGCAGTTGTTGCTATTTCCACAAAACAGGAAAAATAGTAAATCACCAGCAGGTATTGATCGTCCCTCCACTGAAATAGATCTCCTCCAGCCTTTGTCCAAAGTCTCTCAGGGAATTCAGTGGGAATCAATGTCTCTTTGAAGTTCTTCCGATGGATTGCAAAATGTCACATTTCTCCACCTTTTTCTTAGAGACCTGGCCTGAGACCTGGCCACCATACTGATTCCCTAGCACGTTCTCGACACTTAGCTGTACCGCGGTGTGCAATTTTTCCAAGATGTCACTCTGTAAAGATTTCAGAATTACCAGTCGACAGCCTTTTAACAGCAGTCCGTTTTCTACCGTTAACTCCCCAGCAAATTGGAAGTATGGCTGCACCATGGCTTCAACTCTTCTTTTGGTTGGCCAGCCCTCAAGAGAGTATTTCTTCACCAGCTGTAAAACTGGATCAGCTTCCTGATGTTGCTGAATTTCGTGAAGTCTCTTTTCAGTAGCAGGCAAGCTTGTGACGGCTCTGTGTAGTTAATGCTGCTCAATGTGAAAGCCCGCACGTGATGGAGATTTACCGCTGATTAAAGAACCGGCTTTACTAATAAGATGCGCATTAAATATCGCATGCGATTTATCGTGCAGCCCTACTCCGAACACTAATATATTGACCATGTGGCACAGAACACCCTCTAGACCAGAGCTGTCCAAACTCGGTCCTGGAGGGCCGGTGTCCTGCAGAGTTTAGCTCCAACCCTAATTAAAAACACCTGAACCAGCTAATTAAGCTCTACCATAAATAACACCCAATTCTCAATGTCTCTTTGAAGTTCTTCCGATGGATTGCAAAATGTCACATTTCTCCACCTTTTTCTTAGAGACCTGGCCACCAAAGTGATTGCTTAGCACGTTCTCAACACTTAGCTATGACTTGGTGTGCGATGTGCAATTTTTCCAAGATATCACTCTGTAGAGATTTCGGAATTACCAGTCAACAGCCTTTTAACAACAGTCTGTTTTCTACCGTTAACTCCCCTGCAAATTGGAAGTATGGCTGCACCATGATTTCAACTCTTGCTTTTGGTCGGCCAGCCCTCTAGAGAGTATTTCTTCACCAGCTGTAAAACTGGAATAGCTTCTGGATCAGCTTCCTGGTCTGGTGATTTATCATTCCCATGAATCTCCGCATTTCACTCGTGTTTGTTGGTTCGCTCATATGTGTGATCGCCCGCACCTTTTCAGGATCGGCATGAACTCCTGACATATCAAGTATCTGTCCAAGGAACTTCACACTCCTCTTAGAGAATTTGCATTTCTGATTGAGTCACTCCGCCCTTTTGCAGTTTTTGCAGCACCGCGAAGATACGTTGGTCATGCTCTGTCTGGGATGCTCCGAACTAGGGCTGCACGATAAATCGCATGCGATATTTAACGCACATCTTGTCAGAAAGCCGCTTCAGCATCTGTGGCATTCTCCTTTGGAAATGTTCTGGGGCTAAAGATATCCCAAAACAAAGTCTGTTGAAGCAGAACCTTGTAAAAGGGGTAATAAAGGTTGTGAGGGAAGCTGAATTCTGTGACAGAGGGATCTGCCAAAACCCTGAATTGGCGTCCAATTTCCAAAAGACTTTGGCTACTTTGAGCTGACCCAGAAAGTGTTCCACCGAAGGAAGAATTTATCTTTCCCTATTTACCCCTTTGTTGAGCTTTGTTAGGTCCACATATATGCGTACTGTGCCACTGGATTTTGGAACAACAACCATTCCTGCGCACCAGTTGGTTGTTTTACTCTGGTAATCATACTTTGATTCTCCATGTATTCCAATTCCTGTTTCACTTTTGACATTAGGGGCAGTGGAATACGACGGGGAGTTGACAGTGAAAAGGGCTTGGCATCTGGCTTTAGAGATATTTCATACTCTCCTTGCATTTTCCCGAGACCCTGAAATAATTCGGGGAACTGTCTTTTAACTGACTCAAGACTATCGAGATTCACTGTATCAATTCTCACTATAATCCCTAGAGCACGGCTTGCTGGCCTCCCTAGTAGAGCCATTTTCAATCCTGAGATCACATAAATATCTTGGGTCGTGGTTTTACTTTCTGTGCTGATTTTTTACTGTGCACCTACCCTTAACCTGCAGTGAGTCTTGACCTGGTCCCAACAGTATCTTTGAAGTTTTCTGTAATTTATCGAAGTTTTCCTCCTTGAACAGCTCTTCTGAAGTCACAGTGACATCTGCTCCTGTGTCCACTTTAAACAGCACATCTGAATCATTCACTTTGAGTTTTATCAGCCAGGGGGCATCAGTCTGCTCTGTACTGACGGTGCCTAAGAATGCTATGCCAGCTTTTGTGTTCATCATGACTCGTATTCACTTTAGCATAACTTTAGCATAATGCCCTTTTTTCCTACAAAGGTTGCAGTATGCCTGTTTTGCTGGGCAGTGAAATGTGCTGTGAGATGGAGTTTTCCCACACCTCTTGCATGGAGTGGACTTATCTGATGCTGACTGTTTCTCTGCCATCCTAGCAGGCCTCTGCCTCATCACCCATTGTATAAATGAGAGTATTCACTTGGTTCTCTTCTGGCTGTAATTCAAGTCCAGATGCCACTCTAAGTCTTTCAAATCTTTTACTCCACTTTGGCCAGAAGCAGGGAATACAAATACTAAAGGTTCAAACTGATTAAATTGTGTCTGCCTTATTCAAGCAGTTAGTGACTGAATTGAGATTTGAGTTGCAGACAAGTGCAGACACATTTCATAAACACTTTTTTTGTTTGACAAACACATAAACACATTTTTTTTCTGTGTTTAGTGTGAGACCCCGAACCCCAGACTCCAAATACTATTTTAAATAGAACTTTGTACGTATGAGCTCAGACCCAGTAGATATTTTTCCTCCTTCTCATTGATATAAATCCGTCAAGCGGGTTATACTTACAGGAGTGCAAAGTTGTGTTTGGGACATAAAAAGATTTTATTTGCAAATCTCGTTTTATTTATTTGTGAATTTAATTCATATTTGTGAAACCTTTTTATTTGTGGATCTCATTCTATTTATTTGTCAATGTGTTTAATTTTTTGTTAATCTCTTTACATTTATGTGTGGATCATAATTTATTTATTTGGAATTACGCAACAATTCTATCTCCATATTGCCAGGCCTTCTGCCGTCAGTCTGAAGGTCTGGCTACGCGAGACTATGCCAAGCGTAACATATGCTGCAGGTGGAAGAGATTCCCAGTAACACTATACAACATTACTGGCACTGTGTGTAAGGCACTCTAGGTTCATATGGCATCACCACAGCCATAAATCCACCTTATTGCGTTTCCTTTTAAACACACTTTTAGAAGGTGTCCTTCGAGGACCAAAAACAGAATCAGGTCTGACAGTCCTAGCCAGGGATGAACTGGGACTAAAAATCAGCCCAGGACCTGCAGCCATAAATGCATCATAAATGACCTGTTATATGTCAAAAGATAAGGCAAACTTAGATTTCACAATTCGTGACCCCTTTAAAAACACATTTTCGCTAGATTTAGCAAAGCGTGATCCCAAGCCCCCGACTGTAAATGAATGTGCTCCAGGGACTGAAATCTATAGTTTGCTGTAATCACTACACAGCTTTATGTGCAGAATCCTGCTAGCATAGCACACTAAACACTGCAGATTTATATGTAGCAGGTCAAGCTGATTAAAAATGTAACTTATAATGAAACAATAAATAACACTTTTCAAATGAATATGGTTTGTATAACAAGAATCTTCGGTAACACTTTATTTTAAGGTGTTCTTGTTACATGTACTTACTATTATAATAACAATTAATTATGCATAGTTACATGCAAGTAACCCTAATCCTAACCCTAACCACATAGTAAGTACATGTAGTTAATTATTATTACTCAGTACTTAAATGGCACATAATTACACTGTAACAAGGACACCTTAAAATAAAGTGTAACCGAATCTTCTTTCAAAATCAAACAAATAAACAAAAATCTTGCTAATCCTAAACTTTGGAATGAAGAGCATCACGTATAGGAGGTGATTATTAGTCTAATTTCTTGTCCAATATGTATTGGACTAATATATCTAATATTCTAACAAGCTGCACACAGGGTCAAGGAAGTTTGTCATCATCTTTTGACGTGCAGTAAAACGAAGAGAATAAAAGATAACACGACTAGTGATTCTGAACAGTCCCCTGACGAAACATTAGAAAGGATAACGGACGTACAGTAGTCTATTTTATTCCATAACAGATCGTTGTCAAGGTTAAATCGAATTGTTGGAATGAATGCAGTCACCGAGGCTGTAAAACACACATGCATATGCAAGATGAATGTACACGTGTCAGCTCAGCTATTTTCTTACGGCACTGTTTAAGCAACCTGCACAAAACAAAGCAAAAAAGATATAAAAAATCATCTGCACTCAGGTCGTCGTTAATGGCTCCAAAGCGGAGCTGTTGACGTATTCTGGCTGTTTCTGTCCATTTGTATAGAATAGCATGCATGCTGTACGAGTGACTGATGAACTGAAAGAGACAACGAAAAGATCAGCTTTGGAGAGCTGAAAAGTGTGGGGCTCAAACCTAATGGTCATTTTGCACTCTCTGAGTTATTTTTATTACAACTTCTGTTTACAATGGAATGAATATGGTTTGTATAACAAGAATCTTCGGTAACACTTTATTTTAAGGTGTTCTTTTTACATGTACTTACTATTATAATAACAATTAATTATGCATAGTTACATGCAAGTAACCCTAATCCTAACCCTAACCACATAGTAAGTACATGTAGTTAATTATTATTACTCAGTACTTAAATGGCACATAATTACACTGTAACAAGGACACCTTAAAATA